GCGAGCCCTGTCGCGCCGCCTCGGCTCCCGCTCACGCGTGCCCAAGCCCAGCGCGAGACTTGCTGAGTCATCAGCATGAGGTCACTCGACGCTCGTCCTGTGAAGGGAGCCGGGGGAAGGGGCTGGGAGCGGTGAAGGGGAGTCCGGGGACGCGGCCCAAGGGCTGCCCGTGCGCGAAGAGAAAGTGGAGTGGGTGTCCAGGCGAGGTGACATATTTGTCCAGGCCATCCTAGGAAGCCCGCTCTTCCCAGGCAGCAGTCTGCTCTCCCTCCCAAGGCAGTTCCCAAACGGAGAACCGGTTCTTGGGACTCAGAGGGGCCAGAGCGAAAGCCACTGGCTGGAATGGTAGCCTAGCAGACATGGACTGCAACGGGGACCTCTCTACCCAGAATGTTGCAGCAGACCTATAAACCAGGGCAGCCAGGGGCCATGTGAGCAGGCCCTGCAGGGTAGTGGGCACCGGAGGAGTGCCTGGCTTTGGGCCCAGCAGGTGATGGTGTGCATGGCTGGGATGAGAGCATTTAGTGTCTGTGACTAGAGGCTGGGTCTGTTTGGAGAAGTTGGCCAGGAAAGAGGGGCCTGGTGGGTGTTGGTCCTAATGGCCAGGCACTCCTGGGAAGAACAGGCTCAGCGGGTGTCCTGGCCTGAGCTGGCCCTCTGGACTGGGTGGGAGGTGCCTGGCCTCCCACCTGCTGTCCTTGCTGGAGTTGTAACCCCTGGGAGAGGCGGACCCCTAGTAGAAGGTGTTTCCCTCGACTCAGCAGCGGTCTTTGGGGCTGGAGATGCAATTTAGAGTCACCTAGTGGCTTCCTAGGAAAGACCTCCCTGGGGAAGGTGGGCCTGAAAGGCAGGCCCCCTCTGTGCCCAGACCCCCTCCTGTTCCTGGCGCTCACCCTGACTGCTTGACTTAGGATCCTTTGCTGGGTCTTTACCGGTTGTACCTTCTCTATCCATGGGCCTTGGCCTTGGGGAGGGTGGCAGGCAGACCTAAGTAGTGTCAGTGGGTGAAGGAGGGCTGGAGTTGGCAGTGCTATCTTAACTGGCCTCAGGGCCCCCCTTTCTGTGGCCTGTGATGACGCTCAGGTGCCGTGTCTACCAGCCCATCTGTTTTCAGGGGTGGCAGAGGGCAGGGGGCCAGAGACCCTGGCTTGGTTGAGATTGTGCCTATGAGAGCGCCTTTGTCGTGTGTGCACCCCACCCCTATATATGCACAACTCTTTCATGCACCCCCCCACAAACATGCACATATATCCCCTTCTCGCACACACTACCCCTCCCATGAGCACAACCCCCACGCTGACACACGCACACGCACTCTCATGCACAGCCCCAGCCCGGCACACATGTGCCTGGCCCCCCGATGGGGAGTGACTGCCTGCGCTTGTGCTGAGTCCAGCCCTTCCAGGGTGAAATCTGTCGAGGAGGCACTTTTCCGCGGGCTCAGCCGTGCTCACACTCCTGGGCCGCTCCTCAGGAAGTCGCCTTTGTGCTGAACTGGGGGAGGGGTGAGCCAAGCTGGTGCTGCTGCCACAGAGTTCCAGGATAGGGTGCCCCCCACCACCACCACAGGAACACCTGGGGCTCCAGGCTGGACCTGGAAGGATCCTAGGCAGCAGGTGACCTGGCCTCCACTCCTCACGCTCACAGTGGGGGTGCAGCCCGTGTGAGGTGCAGACAGCTGCCCGTCCTCCTTGAAGGTAGCAAGAAAACCACCAGGCTATGCTTACAGGATCTTCCTCCTCTCCTCCCCGTGCCTGCAGTGGGGGCTCCACTTAGACCCCTAGGGGGCAGGGTCCCGCATGGGTTGGGTGCTATCTGGGTTCCCTGGGGTGAGGAAGGGGCTCCCTCTGCGGTGGCCCCTGGGCGGGCCCTTGTGCAACAGTCTCCTGGGAGGGGCCGGGTGGGGCAGGGGCAGGGGCAGGATGTGCAATGTGGCCTGGGGCCAGTTGCTCCATCAGCCTTAGGGCTAGGGCACAGACTGGTGCCACCCAAGTCCCCCTCCCCACTTTGCTATGCTAGACACCTGTGAGGCCGCAGAAGTGAGCTCCCTTCTACCGGTACCGAGCACCGGGCTGTGTCCTTGTGGCAGCTGGAGTAAGTCTCGTGCCTTACCTGCTTCTGGCCCGGCCTGCTTCCCTGCCACCAGCTCCCTTGGTCCCCGGGCCGACGGGAGTCTGGGGTGCTGAGTCAGCGTGACTCCGGGAACAGCCACCGGGTGCCCTCACTGGGCTATTTTTAAAGCTGGTGGCTTCCTTTGGACAGCCCCTCCCGCCGTCCTTCTCATCTGCCCCTGCCGACCTCACAGCCGCCAATACCCTGCCCAGCACACCCTTCTGGTCTCCACCTGGGTCCCACAGGGCAGGGCACAGAGGGGACAGTGTGGGCAGGGAGGGGCGGCTGTGGCACTAGGACCCTGACCTCTGCTCCTGTCTTGCAGAGAGAGTCGGCTTGCTGTGCCCCCAGGTTATGACGACCCCCAATAAAGGAAGCAAGGCTTTGAAGGTGAGTCTGCAGGGGTGTGACCTGGGGTGTGGCAGCCGAACCCGGGCAACCCCTGATGGCCTCCTTGCCCACAGGTGAAGCGGGAGCCCGGCGAGAATGGCACCAGCCTGACGGACGAGGAGCTGGTGAGCATGTCGGTGCGCGAGCTGAACCAGCACCTGCGCGGCCTCTCCAAGGAGGAGATCATGCAGCTGAAGCAGCGGCGCCGCACACTCAAGAACCGCGGCTACGCCGCCAGCTGCCGCGTCAAGCGCGTGACGCAGAAGGAGGAGCTGGAGAAGCAGAAGGCCGAGCTGCAGCAGGAGGTGGAGAAGCTGGCCTCGGAGAACGCCAGCATGCGCCTGGAGCTCGACGCGCTGCGCTCCAAGTATGAGGCGCTGCAGAGCTTCGCCAGGACCGTGGCCCGCGGCCCCGTGGCTCCCGCCCGAGGCCCCCTCGCCGCCGGCCTCGGGCCCCTGGTCCCCGGCAAGGTGGCCGCCACCAGCGTCATCACGATAGTCAAGTCCAAGGCGGATGCCCGGTCGTAGGGATGAGCGCTGGCAGTGGTGGGCCAGCGAGGGGCTGCCCTGTCCTCTTCTTACCCCTCCCCTCCTCCCTTCTTCCCTGGCCCCAGCCTCTCCCCTGCCCCCACAAAGCACAACCTCCACCGGGCGCCGGGCTCGGCCCTTCAATTACGTGCTGTCGTCGTGTCTCGTATGTGGGGACTGGTCAGTTCTGCGGTGACAATGGGTCGCCCTGCCCCCTTGTACTAAGGCTGAGCGTGGGTGCGGGCCTGAGGGGACGTGTGTGTCTCTGAGCGGAGAGCCCTGGCCACTGCCGGCTGGAGGGCCCGCTGAGCCCTTCTTGATAGCCCTGGAGTGGGCGCCGGTGTCCTGGGCGAGGCGCGCAGGGTGGGTGGGCCCGGGTGCGTTGCACTGAACAAGACCAAAACCACTGGTTGTGCGCGTCTGTGAAGGCTGTGTCCCGTGTGCTCGCGATGGGTCCCATGTCACTGTTTACATGCTCTTCTTGTGTGGTTACATAGCCCTTCTCCTTCAAGAGTAGGTTCCTTGTACGACGTTATTAATTTATATGTTTCAGAGCTAAAGGGAAGAATGAAGAGCTGCAGAGTATTTATAAAAAATGGTCTTTTTTTTAAAGAAAGAAAGAAAAAAGGCAAGAACATTCAATCCGATGAATGGAAAGGGGAAGGAAGTGAAAGACAGACTTTGCTAGTTTAAAAAGAAGAAGAAAAAGAATACAAAAAAAAGCCCTTTCTTGTAAACTTATGGACAACTCTTTGTGGCTGTTGGAGTTTAGTTTTTATATACACAGAGTTATCAGACGTTATTTATAAAGTTAGTTTAAAAAAAAGACAAAAAAAAAAGCCAACTGCAATGCCCACCCCGCCCCCACACACCCTAACCCCCCCTTTGATATCTCTTTTGCAATTGTACCGAAAGTGACTTACGCCCTTTCTGCTTCCGTCTCTTGCCGGTGCCGTGGTCTTGTCGTGCCTGGTGAGGTCTTGTGCGGCCGTAATGTGCTGGTATTTCTGGTGACCTTTGACCTGTGGGTGTCACTCATGTTCGCTCCCCTGTGTGTGTTTCGGGACTTGGTTGTTGTCTTCAGCTGCCTGTTCAGGCCAGGACTCCGGGCAGCACGGCCTCCCTTCCTTCCCGAGATGTTTCGAACCCTCAGTGGCTGGCCTGCGGGCCCCCTCCCTTCCTGGCTGGGCTAGTAGCAGGGCAGGTGGGACTGGAAGCCTTGCAGCGGTCTCCTGCTGAGCTCCTGTGCTCGCTGACCCTGGCTAGGGGCTTGTGGGTACCCTTGCGGCATGTATGTCTTCCTCGTTGGCCCCATCAGTGGTGCTGCTGGGCTCACACTAGGAGCTGTGACCTCCCTGCCCATTTGTCTTAGAAGAGTTTCAGGGTTGGGTGGTGCTTTCTGGGAGCAGGGCTGCGGCCCACTCACCTGACTGAGGCAGCCCTTGCTTACAGATCCCTGCCTAGCCCCAGAACCTGGGGGAGGACCTCCACCAGCAAGGGCTACAACCTCTTCCCCGAGCCCCCTCTCACTCCATACCTTGGCTCCGCAGCTCTCGCCTGAGCTCTCTACGTGAGCCAGGCTGCTTTCCCAGGCTGGTCTCCTGCTTTGGCCCGGGAAGCTGCTTGGATGGGTGTCTTGGGCAGTGCCCCACATGGCCCAAGATGCTACGATTCTGGCTCTGGCCGTGGGAGCATGGCCTCTTATGTCCAGGTGCCGAGAGCTTAGAGGTGAGGATGGTGGAGGAGTGAGCAGCCAGCCTAGGGTGGCCTTGGGCAGCGGGGGCTTTGTCTTCAACCATGGTCTCCTGCTTCTGTGGGTGTGGTGGGAGTGTACCGTGTGCAGGTGCGGCCTCTGGGGGAGCTCTGCTCAGAGGAGCTCAGTATCACCAGATAGACCTTGTATAGACCCTCTGGGCCTGGACGCCAGGTTCCCCCACGCTTCTTGCCACCAGGTGTTTTTCCACTGGGCCCAGTGGCATTGCTGGGGGCACAGGGAACCAGAGACCTGAGCAGAGCAGAGGAGGACAAGGCTGTCCATGCCCTTGCCCTTCAGGGTGGGCTGGTGTCACCTCTGCAGGGTGGCATGTTGGGCCGTGCAGAAGCTGCCGCTTTAGAGCGAGTGGTGTCACAGGCAGGCCATGCCCCTATCACAGTGTTGGGCTTGAGGCCACTGTTCCCCAGGTCTGGGGGGCTGTCTTGTCCTGCCCTGAGGGTCCCCTGCACTCCTGCTCTCCCCCCCAGTTCTTGGCAGCAGATCCCTGTCCACCTGTCTGCTTCGTGCTTTTCTGGTCCTTGTTGATTCCGTTCTCCAGTGGTGAGGAGGGTGGTCTTCCTCCTCCCCGCCACTGGAACTTTTGACACAGCGAGGCAGGGCCTGGGCCGAGGCCTGCCCGCCACGTAAACTATGATCCGTGTCTTCCTCCGGCCCTGACCTAGCTCCAGCTTGCCCTCTCTCCTCATGTGGACCCCCTGCAGTCATGGGTCAGCCCCACTGGCTGCCCAGCTGCTGCTCTGCCGTTGGGGGGGAGCCACTACATGGTAGGGGTGTGTCTGCTGGGCACGTGCCCTCCCCAGCCCATGCCCTGGTCTGTGTACAGCTGTTGGCGGCAACGGTTCTGACTGGCTACAGCTTGCTTGAGCCAGGTGGTCAGGCCTGTTTCGCACCTGGACCTCCCTCCCAGCGGAGCTCCTTGACTGTAGCCCTTTCTCCACAGCTGGGTAGCCAGGTCAGCCGCAGCCTGTAGCACTGTTTCCGCTCTGGGATCTTGTGAGTTATTTTTTAGGCTGTGGTTTAGCGAAAGGAACCAAGGCATTAACGATTTCTGACACCCCGCCTCATACCCCACCCCCAGCCACTAATTCTCTTTGGCGTTTTTCCCTCCCTTTCTGGTGGGAGCAGGTGGGGGAAGGCAGAGGGCTCAGGGCTTGCTTGGGAGAGGGCGTCCCGCCGTCTGGTCCCTGGGCTGTGCTCTCTCTGCTCCGGGTCACTCCTTTGGGCTGTGGCCACCGCCACCTCCTGCCCCACCCCATCTCTCTCCCCCACTCCCTCCGCTTAGCCCCGGAAGCCTTTAACCAAACGGGAGTGGGTTCAGAAAGCTCCTCCTGGCAACTTAGGGCCACAGGACAAGGGCTGCCCGGCCAGCTGCTCCCGGAGGCTGGACTGAGGCCGGGAGGGCGGGGACAGCGGCCGGCCCGGGCCCCACCCGCCCTGCGCAGTATTTATTGCTAAATTATTGTCCAGGAGGGGCGGCGTGTGCCGGGCCCCCCGGGTATTTATTGCTGTACATAGTGTATGTTTGTGATATATAAGGTTTTCTTTATTTTGTATATGATCAATAAACACCTTTTAAAGAGACGAGCAGGTGCTTCTTTGCGACGAGGCGGGGCCGGAAGGGGCGGGGCCAGGCCGCGCGCGCGCCCTGCGCCTGCGCCGCCGAAAGGCGGAAGCGGAAGCGCGGCGCTGGGAGCGATGGCAGCCGGCGGTCTGAGCCGCTCCGAGCGCAAGGCGGCGGAGCGCGTCCGGAGGCTGCGGG